CTCACAGAGATCCACCTGTCTCTGCCTCCAAAGTGCTGGGACTAAAGGCATGCACCACCACTGCCCGGCTAAGTGTAATTTCTTAATAGAATTATGTAACCAGCATACCTGGGAGCAATAGATGTCATCTAGAGACATCTGTGCCCCTTAATCTGTCTATCCACACTGTTGAAACAAGACACCCCAGGGAATTTGAATTCCCCCTAGAAATCTCATGCTGTGAGGAAAAAGTTGAAGCCCCATGCCATCCAGAGGAACTTATCTACCCACAGAGATGTCATAGTGTGGATAACTTGTCAGACCATTTGGTTCAGTAATAGGCAGAACCAGGATCAATGATGGCTCAGTGTTAGACCACACCTGGTCCAGGATTGCTTAGTTATGGATATAATTGTCTTCGATTTGAACTTTACTCTCATATTAGGATCCTGAAGATAGACTCGAAGTGAATCATTGAATTTTTTTCTACCTCTTCCCAGTATTGCTACATTGAGTAATTTGCCCCTTTTCTGCTTTTAACTATTACTTGTTCGTTGAAATGACAATTGTTAATTGTTTTTTAAGGACAGGTTGGCTAAACCTGATTTATTGAGGGCCCATGTTCTGACTCTCAGTGACTAATAATACCCACCATCACCACCCAAACACACATACTGAATGCCCTCCCTCCCTCCCTGTGTTCTTTCCTCTCTTGCATCTTCCTTCTATCCATAAAAATGTGCTTAGAGTCTTGTACAACTGAAATGAAAACTGGACTTTTAACCTCAAGCTTTCTACCTTGAGTCAACTCTCCAAGCTTTTTTTAACCTTTTTCAACTCTCCTAAGTTTTTTTAATTAAAAACAAATTTTTAGAGGTTAAAAAAATGCTTACTTTCTCTATATTTCTCCCCTCAAATAAAAATTCATCTTTTAAAGAACAAACCCATGTTTAAATTCAATCTTTCATGCTATATTTGGCTTCTCTTTTAGCTCAAGCTTGCTTTCATGCTTCTGATTATATTTGTTATTATTGCCCTCAATATGTATTTAGGCTTACTCATGTCTGAGCGCTTTGATCATTGACGTTTCTTTCATCTCTTCTTCCTGAGACAGATTTTTTTCTTTCTGATGTAGACTCAGAAGTGTCCCACTTAGTGAGGGGCTGTTAACCATCAGTAATTTCAAACTTTCTTCAAATGGTTTTTTATTACATTTTCATTCTCGAACAACAGGTTAGGCCAGCATAGAATTTACTTGAAAAGTCTTCTAATGGCCAAAATTTTATTCCTTTGCAGGTAATCATAATGTCTAGTTGATTTTTAATATATTTATGCTTTTCCCACAATGTAGAGCTTTATCTAAAAGTACCTTAAGCAGGACTTATTTTTACTTATCTTATATATATTTCCTTCCTTGTCTTTAATCTGAATACACTCGAATCTTAAAATCCTGGACAATCCTGAGCTCTATTCTTCTGGAATTTTCATTATGGCTTCTTGCTCTAGTGTTCAGCTGATGTCTGTTTCCCAACTTCCCAAGTTTCACCCTGTTTAGGTACAATGTCAGAGATGTGATTTTTATCACTTTGTTTGATACCTTTTTGCTAATCTTTAATTTTGTCTTCTCTGTTGTTCTCCCCCTCCCCCACTTGTAATCTGGCAAGAAGTGATCTGGTTGATGTGGGCTAGCTCTATCTGCAGTCTGATTTTGGTAGAGTGAAGAGTTACAGGACAAGAAATGTGCAGTCCACTACATACAAGATTTATCTCCGCAGAGATAGCATAGAAGCACATACAACACACAAAACTAGAGTGAAGCAGGGTGAGGCCCCAGCATAACATATGGGGAGGGGCCTGAGAGGGAACATTGTCTCCTTCCAGGGGGTCTGGGTTATATGCTTCTTAATAGGATGCGGAGCAAAGCTTAGCTCCATTTCCTCCTCGAATTGGGCTGGTCAGGATGCGTTTAGCTGGTTAGGTCATTTTCAATGACAGCAAGGACCAGACTGGGTGAGATATGAGTGGGTGTAGTCCTTTGAAATTCCCCGTGGAAAAGAAAGCTCTCCTACTCACCTGACCTTGTTATCAGTGGCCAGCAGTGAAGCTGGGATGGGGAGGAAGGAGTTAGTCAGCTGGCGGGGAGTTAGCTCAGTCGAACCTACTTGGTGGGTTATCTGTGGCTAGCAGCAGGAGAGAGCCCAGTGGCCTTCCAGAGAGAAAAAAAGTCTCAGTAATGAGTGTGTTCTTTGGGGCACGAGTCTTGGAGTAAGCCCCTTAAAGTAGAAGTCCTCGGAGATCATTTTGTCCCCATTCTTGAAGGTTCCCTAAGACTTGATGGGGTTGATCTAGGACCTCTCTCTCTAGCTATCTACCTATTTAAGTATTAACTAGTTCCTGTCTTCCCTCATAGGCAACAAGCACATGAAAAGGCAATTGAAAAGACATGCTATCGAAAGCCAGGAATTCAACCACTCTTCTCTCTTCTATCAGTTCACACCTTTTAAAATTAATTAATTATTTTATTTTTTTATTTTTATTTTTTTAATTTATTTTTTGAAACAAGGTCTCTCATTGAACGTGGAGCTCACCCAAGACTGGCTGCCTAGCAAGCCCCCAAGGGTCCCCCTGTCTTCAGCTCCCCAGTGGTGGGATTAGAGGTACCTGCTGTTGTGTCTGGGTTATCATGTGGGTGCCAGGGAGAGGCTCATTCTCAGCACTGTGACCAGTTATGAGTCTCTGCATTAATTACAGAAAGAGGTTTCTTTGCCAAAGTTGAGAACAAGATTAACCTATGGGTATAAGCATAAATATTTAGATGGTTGTTTGACATGTCCACTTAGCAAATCAGTACTAGTAGGTTCCTTACTAGAGCCTATGACCTCCTCATGCATGGGCTTAGGACCAGGTTTATGGTACTGATGTTTTTGAGAAGAGGCTTTGGTTTTTCAGTTTTGAAGACTTAAAAAAAATGTTGGGAATAGATATTGAAGATTTGAAGGAAAACGATAAAATTTAAAGTTTAATTTAAGCTTGTAGCTAGTTGCCACATACCATTCCTTTCTATACTTTCCTAATGGTTTTCCTCATTTGATCTTAGTTCACATAATAAAATAGGTTAGTATTGCATAGGCTAACCATAAGAGATTTCTCTGGCTTATTCGTTCCTCGTTACAATGTTGAATTATTATCGAGGTTTATTAGAATACTCAAATGTGATTTTCTCCGAACGTACTTATGTGGCAGCAGCACTGGACTCAGCACTTTGTAGACACACTCATCCAAGCAGAGTTATTCCTCCCATCATAGGATGTGGAAATCAGCACAGAGGGGTTAGGCAAGTTGCCCAAGATAGCACAGTTGTTATGTTTTTAAATCTGGACTGTGCAGGTCTACAGCTGGACTACAGTAGGACTACATGGTTCCCACTGTGACTGGAAGTCAGGATTCCTTTGATAGTTCTCTATTCATTTCTCCCTGAGTAGTAGTCACAATTTACATTTATAATTTACCTATTCAATGTCTGCATCCTTCTCTAGACTCATTATTTCTCAGAGCAGGAACCATTCCAACACTGTATCCCTGCCACAGAGCCTAGTATGTAGTCGACGCCCAATGATTGCTGAGTAAACGCACGCAAGAATGAAGTGTTTCTTTCATGGAGTAATGCCTCCCTCTGGTGGGATTTTAGAATATTGCCCTTTAAACGGCTTCTTAAATTCACCCCTCCCCCTTCTCTTGTTTTCTTTTCTCCAAGATAATGGCCATAGTTACTTCAGAGTGGGCTTGTCACCTACTAGTTGGTTTAGTGAGAGGAACTGTGGAACGGTAATTAATAGGCGCCAAATTATGTCCGGAAGTCGATCAAAGCACATCTATCAATGAGTTCCTTGTTTTCAACGACCCCTCATACATTTTCAGAGCCTCTTTCAGCCCCAAAAGCATCTGCCCAGAATCTCCAGTTGTGATTATACGTTCCTCAGCATATAATGCTTGAAATAGCACCTGAATGCAGAGATAGTACCTTCCCTATCAACTGTCAACACGAAAGTGCAGCTCTCACCTCAGAGGGAATAAGAGATAGTTTATTCTAGAACTAAATATGAATGACTATGGCCCCAGGAACACAGATTTAAATTGCTCTATATACGTTTCTTTGGTAGCAGTTTCACGGAGTTTTTATTTTCTTTAAATATATTTACAGAGCAAAGAGAGTTATAAATTAAGACATTTTTAGATGCATCGGTGGAAACATCAGGTAGGATGGATAAAGCAAATCAAGAGAAACCTCTGCTGTTGGGTTCAGTTGCTGAGCTTAGTTAGCTCTTCAGTCGGTGGAAGCTAAGGATCTGTTCGTACATTCCAAAAAGACTTACTTAATAGTCACAAGGATGTAACAGAGTTGTGTGACCAAACAAGTAGCTATTTAAGGGGCTGAGATAGCCCAAAATAATTCGGCACCGAACCTCCCACATTACAGCCTGGAATGTTTAACCCTGGATTGACCTCTGCCCACCCCCCTCACCCCCTCCCGTTACTTCAGTTCACATGTTCCAAAAGAGGAAAGCAGCACAAATTACGCTCTACCACAAACCTTAATTTTTTTGTTTTTTGTTTTACACAGTTCTCCACAGTTCTGTTTTACAATTTGGAGTAATTCTCGAAAAAACAAAACGAAATAAAAACCATAGTAAAAAAAAAAAAAAAACCAGATACTTTCCTAATCTATTCACGTACGGGCAGCTCATTAGATCATTTTGTTGCCAGCACAGCCTCTCTATTCGAACCAGAAGTGGATACAAACAGAAGGAATGTTTTTAGGAATATCCATCTACGAATGCATATTCAGGTGTTCCGCTCCTTTAAGGTCGCGGGCGCTCTACCACTTTCCCTTTCGCTAGCCGCCGGCGGAGGCCGGAAGCCAGCTATCAGCGCGGGCCGCTCCTCCCCTCACGACTCTATGGTGGTCGGGTTACTCTAGCCATGAGACCTCTGTGGTTCCGGGGCGGGCTGGGAGGCCCGAGTTTGAAGGCTGCGGCGGGAAGATGGTGGCCGCAGCTGTCACCAGGCTGGGACTCTGCCGCACGGGAGGCCGCCGGGACCGTGTCGCGCCCTGAACAACCGAGAGGAGCTCGTCTGCCATGAGTCTTCCGCGTCGGAGTGGGAAGCGGCGGCGTTCAGCGTCCGGCTCCGACTCATGCTCGGGAGACGGGGATAGCTGTGTCAGCCCCCGGCTCCCGTCTAGGCCGGTGCTGAGTCCACCTCCGGGGCTGGGACGCGGCCCGCGGGCCGCGGGGGCAGGTACTCCAACACCGGGACGATCGAGGGCTGCGGGGGCAGGTACTCCACCACCGGGACGATCGAGGGCCGCGGGGGCAGGTACTCCAACACCGGGCCCCCGAGGGCCGCGGGGGCAGGTACTCCACCACCGGGCCCCGAGGGCCGCGGGGGCAGGTACTCCAACACCGGGCCCCGAGGGCCGCTGGACAGGCACTTCAGCACCGGGACGACCGAGGGCCGCTGGGCAGGCACTCAGCACCGGGACTGGGACTCCCTCCTAGCCGCCAGCATGCCCAGCTGATTGTGTTTTAGCCCGCCACTGCCTGCATAGATATTGGCATTCTTTGTTTTGTTTTTTTGGAGTCTTTACAACTTCCCAGAAACAACTTCTCGGTTGGCCAGAGCCTGCCACCATGTTGAGGGCTTGCTTCGAATAATGTCCTGTACAACTCAAGTTCTTACACCAGATTGCCCGGTGTAGCTAAGGATGCAGGCTTTTTGGAATCCAAAGTAAAGCTGGAAGGGATTTATATTGTTTTGTCAGAATGTTAGCCCAACTCTTACTTGCTTTTTTTTGAGACAAGGGCTTACCCTAGGTCAGGCTGGCCTGGGGTCTCGAACCCTTGATCCTGCTTCTGCTTCGCAAATGCTGGGATTACAGGCCTGCACCAATGCATCCCATAATTCTTTGCCTTTGGTTAGGCAGACATCCCAATACTAAAATGTAAACAGAAACTTCTCTAACAGCTTTGTAATGCTCTCTTATCAATCATAGAGCGTCTTCCTCCCACCTCCCCATCGTTCCAAGCTCCTTATTTATTGTATATAGCACAATTTTTTATTATTTATTTGTTTGTTTGTTTGTTTGTTTTTCGAGACAGGGTTTCTCTGTGGGGCTTTGCGCCTTTCCAGGATCTCGCTCTGTAGACCAGGCTGGCCTTGAACTCACAAAGATCCGCCTGCCTCTGCCTCCCAAGTGCTGGGATTAAAGGTGTGCGCCACCACCGCCCGGCTAGCACAAATTTTTGTTTGTGGCTCTTAAGAGTTTTCAAAATTATATCAAGTAAATAAAAATTAGCTGGTATTTTTCTGCACAGGATCAATTTCTTGTGTCTTGATGAGTTTCATTTCAGCATGTAGGAGTTCCAACAGTAGAAGGCTAACTATTAAAGTTGTATGTTGGAAGTAATTAAATTGTTTTTGTTTGTTTTCCTGAAAGGGCCATGCAAGCAAAGAGTTTCTGATGACCAGATTGACCAGCTGCTATTGGCAAATTGGGGACTCCCGAAAGCAGTTCTGGAGAAATACCATAGTTTTGGTGTAAAAAAGATGTTCAAATGGCAGGCAGAGTGTCTTTTGCTTGGACAAGTCCTGGAAGGAAAGAATCTAGTTTATTCAGGTATTCAAATTTATGTAAACTCATTTCACTAACGTTATCAGTGTGAGCAACTCTTTATTGGGGTGGTTACATCTTTTAAGTAGGTGGAGAAGCAAATGCTTTAACTAGAGAAAGTAGTGAAATCTGTGGAGTGTTGTCATTTGTATACCGAAGTCTTGAAAGTTCCATTATGTGGTAGAGCAGTGGAAGCCAGGCATTGGTAACTTATATAGCTAAAATCCCACTTGCTTAGTGAGCATATGTCTCAGTGAATTTGTAACGGGGGATGCCAGCCTGTTCTCCCCTCATTTGATCTCAGTTGCTTTTCAGGGTGTAAACTTTATATATTCATAATTGAGCTGTTTGTGCAGGATTGTATGCACAAAACAATATGTAATACTTCTTAAGATTTATATAGAGTTTTCAAGGGCAACTTCCGATATGTACGATTTTGAACCTGTGTTTACTGCAATCATTTAAGGATCAAATATAAGATACAGTTCCTTTGTGTCAGTTTTCTCTGAAGTTCTGAAGTCATTCATAGGTTTTTGTTTGTTTGTTTTTCTCCATGTTGTTTTGGTACCTGTCCTGGATCTCACTTTGTAGACCAGGCTGGCCTCAAACTCACAAAAATCGGCCTATATTTGCCTCCCAAGTACTGGGATTAAAGGCGTGTGCCACCACCACCCGGCTATTCCTAGTTTTTATTAAGGCTATAATAAAGAAGTAGAATATTAACTAAGTTTATGTAATTCAGACTGTGGAGGTAGACTGATTGGCTTGGGAACTGTATATTTTTTTTTTTTTTTTTTTTTTTTTTTTTTGTTTTTTGAGACAGGGTTTCTCTGTGTAGTTTTGGTGTCTGTCCTGGATCTCGCTCTATAGACCAGGCTGGCCTCGAACTCACAGAGAACCACCTGGCTCTGCCCCCTTGTGCTGGGATTAAAGGTGTGCACCACCACCACCTGGCTGGGAACTGTGTCTTTTAATGATTGTATGACTTTGCACATTGTAGGGAGAGGTGCAGGAGGGGGAGGCTAACTGACTTGGTAGTGCTGAGGATTAAATTACTTCCTAAGTATATAAACTTAGAAGAGTTGGGCACACAGAAAGTACTCCTAAGTGCACAGTAGTGTCAGTTGGTTGCTGTGGAGGCATGGTCTGGTCATTTCAGTTTCTTAAATCACAACATTGGTCAGCAGCTCACACTGTCATCAAGACATTTTTACCTTAGATGTATGTTAGATCTGTGGACTTCCTCTTCTTGGATCCATTACTTGGTGTAACTCACTGTCTTCCTTCTAGATCTGACATACCCTTGTAACTCGTTTATCTTTTTCTCTGGTCTTGCTCTGCATCTGTAGCCAAGGAGATCACAAAAAATATAACTTTTTCACCGTTTTTAAGAACATGTTAGTCATTTTGCACTGCTTTCCAGATAGATCAAAAAATCCTTAGATGGTAAGATTATAACACTCTTCTTTGTGGAACATTTAAACATTTAAAAGATTTCTAGTTATGTATGTGTGTATGTATCCTTGTGTGGGTATAGGCTGTAAGTACAGTACCCATAGAGACCAGAAGAGGATGTCAGAGCCTCTGGAGCAGGAGTTACAGGCAGTTGTGAGCTGTGTGATATGGATGCTGGAATTCAACTCTGGTTGGTTACTGGGAATTGAACTCATGTCCTCTCTAAGAACAGTCTCTTAAATGCTATGCTATCTCCCAATCCCAGTTCCAATCACTGGTGGGTTTTTTCTTTTTCTCTTTTTTAAATTTTCTCTCCCCTGAAGGATTTTGTGCTCCAGGTTCATGAAATTACTGTCATCAGAACATTCCAGGCTTTCCTCTGGGCCTTTGCACATGGTGTGTCCGATGCTTGGCATTCCTTTCCTCTCCCCATAAGTTTCTTTCCATTTTGTTAACTTCCTTATATCTCCTTCCAATTTCTGTTTCTCTTATTATCTTAAGGGTGTATAGTGGGACTTTTACCTAGTCAGTCAGTTCTTAAAGAAACTTAGAGAACTGATGAGGTACTCAGTAATATCCATCATGAATTTTTAATACAGAGACTTAAAACCTCTCTCTGTTTACTCTGAGACTATTTGGAAACCTAGTGTAGAGTCCAGGGCATTTTGGGGGTTAAGGTTTCAAACACTAGTGAGTCTTTAGTGAAGTATTAGTTTTCGACTCTGTAATGCTGGTTATGGCTTACAAAATTTATTAATGCAGTATACTGAATGTTACTTTTTGTCATAATCATGTGGAATAATCATGTTTTAGCTCCTACAAGTGCTGGGAAGACTCTTGTTGCAGAGTTACTTATTTTGAAGCGGGTGTTGGAAATGCGGAAGAAAGCTTTGTTTATTCTGCCCTTTGTTTCTGTGGCTAAAGAGAAGAAATTCTACCTCCAGGTAATAGTTTTTGCTGTTTGAAACAGTGAAAGGTTTGTCATTGGTAGCATTGGCTTTACTCATTTGAAGGAGGTGTGCAATCAAATGGAAAAACGAGGTTTCTTCTGTCACATGTATGTAGCTTATAAAGGCATGTGATAGAAGTCTTAATAGTTTAGTGGGATAGCTGGGCATGGTGGCACAGGTGTGGGATTGGATCTACTTGAGAGTCTGAGGCAGGAGGATTATGTGGGCAATTTAGTGAAACCCTGTATCAAAAAATAAAGAGGCCTGGAGATATTATAGTTCAGTATTACTAACAAAACAAACCCAAAAGAGGGGATTTTAAAAATTTTTATTGCATAAAGTAGGAAGGGACACCAAATTAAAAGGGTAGCTTGGGGAATACTGTATAAAAATGACAAGCTTTTCATAGGAAGTAAAGAAAGGCTGGAATTGCAAAGGAAAAATCAGCATGTTTAAGGAAGCCTAGCCCACCCCAACTGAGGACCACTGAGGAAACCCAGGGACTGAAGGGAAGATTCTTTTGTGCTTAGAGAGGGTGCTCCACATCTGTGATCAGACCTCTGTCTTGTTAAATGAGTCATAGTTTCCGCTGATGGAACTTTCCATGGATTTTGAGGCATTTTCATGAATATAGTGTCCATTAGATTTGAAGTAGTGTGCTGTCAGAACAGAAATCTTTGTATAGACTGGTCAGGAGTCTGGATTTTAGTCCTGTGTTGCCAGGCACACAACCTGCAGAGCCTTGTGGTTTTTATTTGTAAACTGAGGCAGCTCACTCTTAGTACTATAACTCAATAAACTCAAACTCTCAGAAGAAATTGATTAAATGAGCATCTGTAAAGTTCTATGGTTTTACAAATCTTTTTAACGGTTATTTCAGAGGCCAAATAGCCAACAAAGCTGGTCCTACTCAGTGACCTCCTCTCAACTTAGACTCAAAGTAACAAAATGAGGAAAGGATTCCTTTTATTGAGAAGGTATGTTAGTTAAAAGTTAAACCAAAAAAGTTAATATCAACCCCACTGAATTTAACTTGTGAAAATTCTTCTTCCATTATATGGAAAACTAGTCTTTTGTAGGATAAGAATATTTTCCTTGTAAAGAATAAATTTGTTCTTTAAAACATACTAGTGTTAAAAATTAACTACTTCCTATTATTGAATTAAACATGTAGAACTTCAATGTTTTCCAATTTTAATTTCTGTAAAAGCTGTTAGAACTTAGATTATTAAAACATTTATTTCACTCCTTTTAACAGAAATATCTGTGCTGAGCTTTGTTAATTCTAAACGTATTTTAGTATATGAGTCTATTTTTAGTATGTGATTATAAAAGCCCTTGTAATGGTCTTGACCAGAAGCAACCATCTTTAAATATGTTTGTCTATGATCTACAGTAGAACCCAACTGTAACTCATTAAATTCTAAGTTTTCATCTGTATTATTTCTTTTTACTTAATTCAGAGTCTGTTTCAGGAAGTAGGAATAAAAGTAGATGGCTACATGGGCAGCACCTCACCTCCTGGACGTTTCTCCTCCTTGGACATTGCTGTTTGCACTATTGAGAGAGCCAATGGGCTCATCAATCGCCTCATTGAGGAAAACAAGATGGATCTGTTAGGTAAGAAAGTTCCAAAATTAAACAAGTATTTCCTGTTGATGTTTTTGATGGAATGAAGTAAAACTGTGATTCCTATATGACCTATGTGTTTATTTTCTGTCATCTATTTTTGGAGGCAAGAATTAGCAGAGGTAATATCAGGAACTTCATGTTTTTTAAAAAAAATGTGTTTTATGTCTTTCTGTTATTGATTTTAGTATCTTGCATTCAAATTTATTTTCACGTTTATTTATTTAACTTTTATGAGTGTGAGTGTGTATGTGGCACAGCACATGGGGGAGGTCAGAGGACAGCGTGATTCTTTCGGATGTGGGTTCTGGAGACTGAACTCAGGTCATCAGGCTTGGCAGTGAGTCCCTTTACCTGTTGAGCCCACTCACTGGCCCTTTCTTGCATTTTTGAACTTTATAAAAGACAGCCTATCCTTGAGCCTCTGTTATTCCTTATTCTACTTTCTTGTCTCAACTCTGCCAGGAAGAGAAGGAAGCGTGCTGGGGGTGGCCCTGCCGTCCATACAGTTAATGAATTTATGTGTTCATTATCATATTTTGTTACTATGGGATCTAGATTAGGACTGGATTCAGAAGCTGCCATTCAATAGGGAAATGATAGTCACATAAACTGCTCTAGAAAGATTTTTTTTTGTCTTAATAACTTCCTTCTACCCTTAAGAAAAGGTCACTGTACAGAGGTAGGAAAGCAATGGTAGTAGTAGCAGTAGAAGCATTAAGTTTGTTAGCTTACTGAGAAAACAACAAAAACCTTGTAGTAGAGGAGAAGTGGAGGGTGAGAATCAATGACTGGAAAGGCCTGGTAAGAGAGAGAAATCACAATCAGTTGTCTTGTTATTTATGACCTCATTGGCTTTAATTATTTTTGGCATTTGGGTTTCCAAACTAGGCAGAATAAATACTTTTAGAAGAATGTGTGTTGACATAACATATCATATAATATGAATGGTTGTTATCAGCAGTGGAACCACAGAATGTAAGAACCTAGGAAAGAGGCCGGGTGGTGGCGGTGGTTGCGCTGGTGCATACCTTTAATCCCAGCACTTGGGAGGCAGAGGCAGGCGGATCTCTGAGTTCAAGGCCAGTCTGGTCTACAAAGTGAGTTCCAGGATAGGCTTCAAAGCTACATGGAGAAACCCTGTCTCGAAAAAAACAAAAAACAAAACAAAACAACAACAAAAAAATTGAGTCAGGCTATAGATACCTAAAGAAATCTACAGTGAGCAATGAGCCTGAAACAGTTGGAAAGAGTCCTTCAAGTTTAAAAAACAAGGAACAAAAAATGAAAACCTAGCACTAGATTTACTGAAATCTACCAGGCCTTTTGAAAAAGCTAATGTGAGAGCTCCTCAGATTGATTATTCCATAAAGTAGAAAGAAAAGGGATGCTTCCAAATTCAGTTCACAAAGCCAGTAATACTCCCTTACCAAAACCAGATAATGATAGAAGAATAACAGCAAAGAGGAGCTGGAGAGATGGCTCAGTGGTTTAGAGCACTGACTGTTCTTCAGGATGACCCAGGTTCAAGTCCCAGCACCCACATGGCAGCTCACAACGTCTGTAATTGCAGTCCCAGGGGACCTGACACCCATGGCAAAACACCAGTGTGCATAAAATAAAAATAAATTAATTAAAAAAAGAACAACAGCAATAAAAGAAAACTAGGCAAATTTCTATGAAGAATATAGATGCAGAAATCCTCAACAAAACACTTGCAGACTGAATTTAACACATATTAAAAAAGATGATGCACAGGGGCTGGAGAGATGGCTCAGTGATTAAGAGCACTGAGCACCGAGTGATTAAGGTCCTGAGATCAATTTCCAGCAAACACATGGTGGTTCACAACCATCTATAATGAGATCTGGTGTCCTCTTCTGGCATAAAGGCATACATGCAGACAGAACACTGTATATGTAATAAATAAATAAATTGTAAAAAAAAAAGGATGATGCACATGAGCAGGTTGGTTTCATTCCATGGATTCAAAGATTGTTTGGTATAAGCAAATCAACAAGTGTAATATAGCACATCAGTAGGACCAAAATAAAAAAACATACTATATGCAGATGCAGCATTTGATAAAATTAGTATCTATGCATGATAATAGCCTTGAAGAGCCGGGCAGTGGTGGCGCACGCCTTTAATCCCAGCACTCGGGAGGCAGAGCCAGGCGGATCTCTGTGAGTTCAAGGCCAGCCTGGACTACCAAGTGAGTTCCAGGACAGGCGCAAAGCTACACAGAGAAACCCTGTCTCAAAAAACCAAAAAAAAAAAAAAAAAAAAATAGCCTTGAAGAAACTAGAAATAGGATATCTCAATATAACAAAGGGCATATATATGTCAAACTATATCCAGTTGTGTTGATATTTTGTTTGCGATCTAACATAAAGCTTGCCTGAAGGTCAGAGTGCAGAGCTAAGCCACTAGTTGACCATAGAAGTCAGGCAGTAGTGGCACACACCTTTAATTCCAGCATTTGAGAGACAGAGGCAGATAGATCTCTGCGAGTTCAAGACTACCCTGAGATACACAAGATTGATCCAGTCTAAAAGAGAAACAGAGTCAGGTATGGTGGCACACACCTTTAATCCCAGCACTAGGGAGGTTGAGACAGGAAGTGATATGGCTGGGTGGGGAAAGGAATATAAGGGGGAGGAGACAGGAACTCACCCCCTTTGGATTGAGGCTTTTTGTTGTTGTGTTGTTGTTGTTGTTGTTTTGTTTTTTTTGTTTTTTGAGACAGGGTTTCTCTCTGTTGTTTTGGTGTCTGTCCTGGATCTCTCTCTGTAGCCCAGGCTGGCCTCGAATTCACAGAGAACCACCTGTCTCTGCCTCCCGAGTGCTGGGATTAAATGTGTGTGCCACCACTGTCTGGCTGAGGTTTTCTTAGAGGTAAGAACTAGTGGCTGGCTGCTCTGCTTCTCTGATCTTTCAGCATTTACTCTGATATCTGGCTCCGGGTTTTTATTAAGACCAATTAGGGTTCCTGTTATATCCAGTGTTATACTAAATGCTGAAAGCATCTCTAAAATCAGGAACACAACAAAAGTGTCCGCTCCACACACTATTAAGCTTGAATTCTTAATAGAGCAGTAAGGCAAGAGAAAGAAAAAGGATGCAACTAGAAATGGAAAAAGTTAAATTATCCCTGTCAGCAGGTTACACGATCCTACACTTAAAAGATGCTGCCGGGAAATTCTTAGATTAGCGTATACAAGTAGGTGGTTTCATTGTGTACGATAGTGAACAATGAACTAAAGCCAGGCAGTCATTCCTATGTGTAGGAAGGGGCCTCAGAACCAAAACCAAAAAACCAAAACTTAGGAATAAGCCTCACCAAGGGAAGGAGGTAAAGGACCTTCACAATGAGTACACTGAAGAAGGAGATGTGCCATGTTTCTGGAGTGGCAGAATTAATAGTGTTAAAATGGTCATATTGCTGAAAGCAATTTAGAGACTTAATGCAGTTCTCATAAAATTTCCAATGATATTCTTTATAGAATTATGAAAAATAAAATTCTAAAATTCACGTGGAGGCACAATCTGGAGCAAAGAGACTCAATCAGTAGACCTAACTGATTTCATGTTATACTCCAGAGCCACAGCAACAAAAATAGCATACATAGTACCAGCACAGAAACAGATGTGGAGAACAGTGGAATAGAATAGAGTGGCCAGAAATAAACCATGCAGCTCTTGTCATGGCTCTTGTCATCCAGTTCTTCTCAAAGGTGCTTAAGATGCTACATTAGAGGGAAAAAAAACCAGTTTTTACAAGTACTGCTGGGAAGACTGGACATCCATCCACATATGGATGAGTGACACTAGATCTTTATTTCCCACCTTGTACAAAAGTCAATTGAAAATGAATCCAAGATTTTAGTGTAAGACTTGAAACTGCTAGGGCACTACATAGCGAATCGCTTAAAGATAAAGGCATGTTCTGAATAGGATTCTGATAGCTCAGAAAAAAGTAGAACCAACGAGATTGCATCAGTAAAAAACCTGCATAGCAAAGGATACAATTCCCAGTGTGAAGAAACAACCTGTTAATGGAGGCACATATTCACCAGTTATGCATGTACTAGGAGATTAAAACCCAGAATATCCATAGGAGTCAGAAATTAAACAACAGAACAAATAGTCCATCCAATAAATGGGTGAATGAACTGAGCAATCAATGACTGGATAAAGAAAATAAAATGAAGCCACAAACAAAATCATGTTTTTAGGCAAATGGATGGAATTGTGATCATTATTTTTACCAAAGTTGGTTTGACTCAAGACAAATCTATCTTTTCTGTCATGTAAAATTTAGATTGAAACAAACAAACAAACATTAAAGGAACTGTTTGGACAAAATAAGGGGACAAGTATGAGGGGGCATGAGATAACAGGTAACAAGGGGGTGAATATGTTAAGTACTGGATTAGTCAGGGTTTGTTGGTTCTAGAGTAACAGAACTTACAGAATAAACCTCTATATGTAGAAAGAGGACTTATTAGAATGAGTTACAGGCTGCAGTCCAGCTAATCCAACAATGGCTGCCTAGAAACAGAAGGTCTAAGAATCCAGTAGTTGTTCAGTCCATGAGGCTGGATGTCTCAGCTGCTCTTCTATAGATGCTGGAATCCCCAAGAAGAAGGCTCTAATGCCAGTGAAGGAACAGACTTGCTAGCAAGGTGAGGGCAAGCAAGCCAAGAGTGAATCTCCCCTCTTTCTATCCTTATATAGGCTTCCGGCAGAAGGTGTGACCCAGATTAAAGGTGTGTCTTCCTGCCTCAAGTTCTAGATTAAAGGGGTGTCTTTCTATTTGAAAGATCAGGATTAGAAGTGGATCTTCCTACTTCAAATTAAGCAAAAATTCCTCATAGGTGTGTCCTCCATTTTCAGGTTTTAGTTTCAGATGTAGTCAAGTTGAAAACCAAGAATAGCTATCACAAGTATATTTTATGCATATATGAAACTGGTTAGTGAAACCTATTATGTTGTACAACTAATATATACAAGTAGAATACACTATAAAAGTGAAAACTATAAGACTAAAGAAAGCATTGGTCCATAATCAGTTGGTTGAATTCTTCAGGCATTAGACAAGGGCATTATGATTATATATTCAGCATTAGGGTGATACTAGTTGTCATATCTTTAAAAATTGCTTAAAACCATCTCTTCATGGTCCAATTCTATTCTTTTTCAAATAACTTTTTTTCTTTGTGTAGGGATAATTGTCTCACTCTGTACCCCAGGCTGGCCTTGAACTCACAGTTCTGCCTCAGTCTCCTAAGTACTTTCAAAGATAATCAAGGTGTGTTTCCTAATAGTTAAAATCACTTAACACTGAAAAACTAAGAGGAGTATTTATTATCTATTTGTTTCTACCAAATTAGCAGTTTAGAAGTGTCTGAGTGGTCTCAATTGAGGAAATGCTGCTATCACATTGGCATGAAAGTAGCCTGTAAGGGCCTTTTCTTGACTGACAATTGATAGGGAAGGGCCCAGATCAGTGTGGGCAGTGCTATCCCTAATCAGGTAGTCCTCACGTGTACAAGAAAGCAAACTGAGCATGCCAGGAAGCAGCATTCTGCTGTGGTCTCTGCTGCAGTTCCTGCCTCTTGGTTCTCTCCTTGAATTCCTGCATGGCCTCCTTCAATGATGGACTGTGATCAGGAAGTGTAAGCCAAATAAACCCTTTCCTTCCCAAATTGCTTTTGGTCATGGCAATTATCACAGCAATAGAAAGAAGACCGGGTTTTGGTGGTTTTGTTATCCCTGAGAAAGCTAATCACTGACTTTTTGTAGTTAGAATGTATGGAGATAGGATTGCTTAAGTTCCTGAAAACATCTTGGAAGACAGTTGGCCCTTATACAGAACTGTGTTTCAGCCTTTCCTTTATCCTGGAACTTTGCCTGACTTGCAGGATCTTATTATGACAGTTATTTGCCATTATACATGGGCTGCTGAGTCTTATAATTCTTAGAACTGTGCAATTTGCAAAAGCTCAATCTGGAAAATCCTTCTAGGAATGGTGGTTGTGGATGAATTACACATGCTGGGGGACTCTCACCGAGGATATCTTCTGGAACTTTTACTGACCAAGATTTGCTATGTTACTCGGAAATCAGCATCGTGGTAAGTACTTGAAATGACTGATTTCCTGCTATTTGTCAAAAAGATGTCGAAAAAGAATCTATCAAAGTGGGCTGGAGAGATGGCTCAGAGGTTAAGAGCACTGACTGCTCTTCCAGAGGTCCTGAGTTCAATTCCCAGCAACCACATGGTGGCTCACAGCCATCTGTAACGAGATCTGATGCCCTCTTCTGGCCTGCAGTCATATATGCTGTATACATAATAAATAAATAAATCTTTAAAAAAAAAAAAGAATCTATCAAAGTGAAAAAGTAAGATTTACAGGAGTGTAGTACCTTTTTATTTAAACAAATTCATGGATAGTAGTTTGCTTTTGTTCTAAAACAGTGGTTCTCAACTTGTGGGTCGTGACCCCATTGGGGGTCGAACGACCCTTTCACAGGGGTTAAGACCATCAAAAAAACCACAGATATTTACATTAGATTAATAGCAGTAGAAAAATTACAGTTATGAAATAGCAATGAAAGTAATTTTATGGTTGGGGGTCACCACAGCATGAGGAACTGTGTTAAAGGGTCACAGCATTAGGAAGGTTGAGGACCACTGCTCTAAAAGAAGTATTTAACTGTCAGACTACTTTCAAACATTTGAACATTTCTGATTGCTCATTTTGACAAAAATGACAACTCCATGATAGAATTAGAACTAGAAAAACAATTAGCTTTATGTTCTTTCTCATAAATTGTGTCCATTACCTGCACTCAGTCCTTCCTAATCCCCTAATATTTAGCCTTTCTGGCTCACTTTTCTACATATTCTACTGTACCTATGTTTACATTTGTTTTCATATATATATATATATATATATATAATGTATACATATGCATATATATTATTTTGGCTAGATTGTATATATTAGGAAGAACATAAGTTTCTTTTTCTTTATGAGATTGTGTGACCTTACTAAGATTACACATTCAAAGTTTTCTATAAATTTTATAATTACATTTTTCTTTATAGCTGAATAGTATTTGTGTGTGGGTGCACACGCAATCAAGTTTTCATTATGCATTCATCTGTTGATGGACAAATAGTTTCATTCCATCAATAAACAATAAACAAGAGAGTGCAAATCTCTATGGTAGGGTTATGGAGTTCTCTTGGTGTATGCCCAGGAGTGAAATAGAGGGATCATTAGGTAGTTCTATTTTCAATTTTTTGAGAAATCTTTGAACTGATTTCTGCAGTGACTGCACCTCCACTAATGGTCAATCCTCTCCAACGTTTGTTACGTCTCCTATATTTGTGGTCACATTTGTTGATGGTAGCTATTCTGAGTGGGGTAAGGTGCTTTCTCAAAGTAGTTTTAATTTGCATTTCTTTGGTTAGGGCAATTGAATAACTTAAAAAGTAGTTATTGGCCATTTATATTTACTTTTTGAAAACTGTCTATTCAGTTCATTTGCCTATTGTTGATTTTGATTGGTAGTTTTACTTCCTGGTGTCTAAATTCTTCAATTCTTTGTAAAGTCTGGATATCAGCCCCTTGTCTGCAGTGGTATAGTACCTTTTTTTGTCATGTAGCCCCATCTGTGCATACTTGGGGTTAGCTTCTATGCTGTTGTTGGTGTGCTGTTCACAAAGCCCATACCAGGCACACACCTTTAGTCCCAGGACTTGGCAGAGGCAGAATCTGAGTTGAGGCCTGCCTGGTCTACATTTTAAGTCCAACTGCAAAGTGAGACCCTGTCTTAAAAACACAAAACAAAACAAAAACCTGACTCTGAAAGTCATAGAAGAAAATATAGATGATGTCTTTCAAGATATTTAGGTAGGCAAAGAGTCTTTTTTTGTTTGTTTTGTTTGATACAGGGTCTCACTATGTAGCCTTGGCTGACCTGGAACTTGTTATATAGACCAGGTTGGCCTTGAACTCATAGAGATTCACCTGCCTCTGTCTCCTGAGTGCTGGGATTTAAAGTTTATTTTACGTTTCAAATTAAAGTTGATCCATTTTGAGTTGATATTTGTACAATTTTTGTATACTGATTTCTTGCTATGGGGAATTAAGATGTTTTCCTTTTGTATTTTCTACTCACCTGTACCCAGTTTCCTCTCATCCTCTTCAGTTTCTTCTTATCCACTCACCATCTTCCCATCCTCCCAAATTGGATTCTAATTTTGCTTAGATCATTATTCAGTGTTACAGTGTTACAGTGATACAGCATTGTTAACTCAACTTAATAGTATATTCTGATTGTTTTTACTTTTTGAAAAACCTTTTTGCTTTTCTTATCTATTAGATATCTTTATTGTTTGATGGCCTGGTTTTCTGTATACTGTGCTACATACTTATCCCTACCAAGTCCAAGGAAACCATAACCAGAAAATGCCTACATGTTCGGAGATTAAATAATACATTCTAGACTAATTTTTGTGTCCAACATGTAAAAAATGTTACAACTGACTAAGAAAAACAACTCAGTGTATTAGTGAGAAGCCTCAATAGACATTTGGAACAAGAGAGGTTCCAAATGGTCTGCATTTATGAAATGGCATAAAGCATCATTAATAATCAGAGAAATTCAAATAAGTATTGCTGTAGTCTCTCCATACTGTTTATTATTAAAATGATTGACAATACAGTTGTCAGATGGTGACAAGATTGTGGAGCAGCAGAACACACAGATTGTGGGAGTGCTGCTTTGGTATCGTCTCCCTGGAAAACAGCTTCCTATCATTCATTAAATCTGAATATCTGGCCAGTTGTGATCTAGTAGTTTTATCCTCAGATCTGTACTCTAAAGAAATGTCTGTGTTTGTGTACCAAAGGCCATGACCAAGAATATCGTTAGCAGTACTATGTGTTGCTTTCTGCATATTTCCTAATATAATTTTCCTTGGTTTTTCTAGCCGGGAAGATTCGGCCAGTGCTCTGTCTAATGCTGTGCAGATTGTTGGCATGAGTGCTACTCTTCCTAATTTGCAGCTTGTAGCTTCCTGGTTGAATGCTGAACTTTACCACACTGACTTTCGCCCTGTACCACTTTTGGAATCAATAAAAATAGGGAATTCCATATATGACTCTTCAATGAAGCTTGTGAGAGAATTTCAGCCCTTGCTCCAAGTGAAGGTGAGTCATTACTGTTTCATCTCCACTGTCAGTGCCTTGGAGTTTTCTACCAAGTTGCTAACAACTTGTAATTGCATAATTAGAGGTTTTGGTAAGAATTCATTATGATTCTGAGTGTGTGTGTGTGTGTGTGTGTGTGTGAGAGAGAGAGAGAGAGAGAGAGACAGAGAGAGAGAGAGAGAGAGAGAGAGAGAGAGA